AAGATCTCCTACAACTCAACAACAGCAACACCAAATAAGGCCGATTGTTAAAATGGGCAAACCTCGTGAATACAAATTTCTCCAGAGAAGATATACAAAAGGTCAATAAGCCCAGGAAAATATGCTCAACATCACTATCATTAGTAAAATATTAATCAAATCTCTCAAAGTTGATGCTTGTGATATTGAGTGTGGGTTACTCCACTGAGCAGGTAACAGGAGAACACTGCCCTGCGGGACACTTGAGTCCTCCAAGCCTTCTTCAATCAGAGTTGGCACCTCTCACCTCTCAGCCAAGTTAAAGGAATAAGGCAGGTCTATTCATCACAAGACAAATGCCTGGGGCTCTGAGCCCTCAGAGAACTTAAATCCTCTATGTCTGGGAGAAAGCACAGCCTTTCTCAGGAGCCAAGACTGTTCAATGGAGAAAGGACAGTCTTTTCAACAAATGGTGTCGAACAGCAATAGCCACATGCAAACAAATGAGGGGAACCATTCAATAGATTAGCAGGATTTGGATGAGGAAAAACAGAGAACCTAGAGTTAGAGACACCCCTCCCCTACTAATCCTCCCATAGCTCTCCTAGTTCTTCACTGACCAGCTGACTGCAAATTTTATCTAACTGCACAGACCTTCATTGCCCAGACAAGGTGTGTTTCTAAGAGGCACCATTTCCCAGGACATCTGAGAGACTCATATTGGAGCAGAAATAAAACAGGGGACCAGGATCAAACCTGTGGTCAGTTGACTACTCAGACCCCGGGGCCAAGAGCTGGGTCAGGACTTCCCAGGTGAGTGTGACTGACATGAGCCAGTGAGCAAATAAATGATAGAGCAGAGCCCAATGAATGAGCCAGAAAGGAGTGAAGGGACAGGCAGGATCTGATTGAGGCAGCAGAACCTTATGCTTTGACCTTGGTCATTAAAGTCATTCTCCTTCTGCTTAGGGCAGGTGAGGCTTGTGCAGATGCAGAAGGGGTGATGAATGGCAAGAGGGGAGCATGGATTGCTGAAATTCTGACCCTTGTGGACCATTTGTGTTTGGTGGTTATGAGATAGAAATTTGGAAAGATCTTAAAATTCCACCATATGCAAAAATTACTATTAATACACCAGGGCCTAAGAGCAATAGCAGGAAGGACTATTTCTCTAGAGAACAGCAAAGTTTCTGAGACATGGGTCTCAACCCCTGGAGTGACAGGGAGCCTTTCCCAAGTGGCCAGAATTCCAAGGACTCTGCATCCAGGTTTCAGCCTCTGAAAAGGTTTTAGCTCATTCCTTCCTTCAGTAGCCATTTATTTCTTCCTAATTCATCAAAACAACCCAGTGTTAAATCTTGATCCCTTAGCTGGTTACAAGTGTAAAATTGGAAGCGAGCAGGCAAAGTCCTTTCCTTTATATCCAGTGGGAATGACACCAACACATCAGGAAACAAATCAGTGGTTTCACCTCCAGTACAGAGAGGGGTGGATCAGCCACCTGAGGGGAAGGTCTGGGTGCTCCCAGCACTGAGTGATTGTTAGTGCATGTAATTTGGTTCTAGAGTTCAAATAAATGAATTCTCCATTTGGTGTTATTTTCTAGACCACAGTCTCTCTCTCTGACCTGGAGATGCCTAAGGGAAGATATAAACCAGTGATGGCGAACCTATGACAGGTGTGCAGAGGTAACCTGTGAACTCATTTCTTTGGCTGACTTTTCTGTTACATGGCATTTAGATATATAAAATAAATATCAAAAATATTAGTCTTTGTTTTACTATGGTTGCAAATATAAAAATTTCTATATGTGACACCACACCATCGTTATGTTAGGGTTTTTCAAAATGCTGGCACACCGAGCTCAAAAGGTTCGCCATCACTGAAAACCAATGTTTGCTTTAGGGATCCCTCTTGGATGGAGGAGAGGTAATGGCTCAGACAGACCTTGAGTCACTCTCATGGTCTGTGTGGCTCTGCTTTAGTGACTATATCTCCCTGTGCCTTGGTTTCCTCGCAATGCAGTACTATGAACATTTGACTGCCAGGGTGTCAGTGTATTAACAATAAAATATTCACAGTATCTGACTAAACATTGGCACAGGGGAGCTGCTCAAATGAGGGACATCTGTTATTGATCAACTCCAAGAGAGAATCTCCTGGGCTGATCCCTGGTGGATGAGGAGCTGCCAGGAGCATCTTTCCTCCTCTTGGTTCCCTGTGATTCTGACCTTTCTCTGAACTCTCCTAAATGTGTTAGTGCAGTTCACAAATGGCCTGGCGACCTTGTCCATCTGTGCTAGCTGCACACAATCTCAAGTGAAGCACCACACCTATCCAGATGTGGCTCATGGGGCTGAGCTCTGGCCTCTGAGCAGCTCAAAAGCCTTGTGACTCAGACACCTGGGAAACCATTGTGCCCATTCAGCCCTTCCCAGGAAGTTAACCCCAAACTGACACAGGATCCCCAGGGTCCCTGGAGTCAGAAACCCTGGGGCAGGGGTCTGGGCGGGGCTGCCAAAGCAGAGGTTCTTTATGAGGATTGCAGGGGTCTCTTGGGCCCTGGCTGAGCTCTGCAGGGTCTTTCTCAGGGTCATGGTCAAGGGGCGGGGGCAAGGGAACCAGAATGAGACTGATCTCTTTCTGCTGAGCAACTCCCATCAAACTGTCCCTTCTCTCTGAGGAGAATGTCTGCAGGGCTGGAATCCGGGAAGGGAACTCTGATCTTAGAAAGTTTGTCTCTACTTTTTGTGTCCTGCACTAAATGTCCAAACCCAACCTGGGAGATGATATAGAGAGGGATGGAAGCAGAATTCAGGGCAGTCAGTCCTGTGTGTTCACCCACCCAACACCCAAAGGTCAGAGAGCAATCACTCACCGTATACATTAAGCCGTCCAAAATCCTTTTTCTTTTATTGAGCCTGGAAGGTAGACTACTATGGTGTAGATCCCTGTGTCCTCTGGGTGACCTGCTTTAATTGCAAGGATGCATGCTGTATGTATACCCTGTTTTTTAAATTCTTATGTGTGTTGTGAGAGATGCAATATGATGATAGTAGTTTGCCCTCCCCCCCCTCCCCCATACCACATGAAGCCTATAGCATTGGGAGGCTTATTGCTGATACATAGAATCACATCCTTCCCTTCGGCAGCATTGGTTGACACAATAGCGAGTTGGGCAGTGGTGCGCAGGCTCCAGAAATTTACGAGTGAAACTAGGAGGAAAGAGAGAAATTGTTCAATATTTGGATGTATATGTCGGGATGGAAAGATGAGGCCCTGGATTTGCAACAAGTCTCTTCATCTCAGCCTTGGTGTGTGTGTGTGTGTGTGTGTGTGTGTGTGTGTGTGTGTGTGTGTGTGTGGTCAAGGTCAACAACATGACCACCAATACGTCAGCACCCGTGACCTGTTACTTTTTCTGTTTCTCAGTCTCTTTTCCAGGTGTCTGTTCAACTCACCCACTCACTGCCCTCACACCCCTGCTGACATTTATGGGTGTCCATGGGAGGCACCTTCATGGAACACTTCCTTAAAGACTCTCTGTTAATCACTTTCTGACCTGTCTCTGCTCTATTCGTTTTATAACACTTATGGGTACCTGACATCACATGTAGATATTTTCTTATCTCTCTCCACCCTCAGAATATGAGCTCCATGGACACAAGGACTTGTCAGATCTTGCATCTCCAGTGCCTGCAACAGCCTGCAAATACCTGTGAGTGAATGAATGTTCCCAGAGTCCTTCACCTCTTAGGGTGTATTTCCCCTGAGGTTGATGGTAAGGACGGTGTTTAGCACACCTGATTAACTTTTTCTCTGGTGCCACCTGACATAAATTGTTATTATTAGGGTCAGTTTCCAAAATTCAATAATCAGTGATGAATAACTTCGGAATTAACAGCAACTGAAGTTTCCCTGCCCCACTCCACTTCCAGATCATGAGATTTCCCAGTTACCTGTTACCCATCTCCCTTACCCTTCCTACTCTGCCTCCCTGTCCTCTCCCCTCAGGTCCACACAGAAGCCCTCCCTAAACTCTCAGAGTGCTGTTCTCCCCAGGAGACCCCAGGAAGTCCACGTCTTTACCCCTTCAGTCCACCTCCAGTATGTTGGGAAAGGCAATCTTGGCCGGTAAGGAAGGGATTGTTCCTTTCTTACGGGCCAACAGGAGTCCCTGCCAGGGGACAGGTCCTCTGCATATAGGTGCTGAGAGTGACTCCATGGTGTCTGCTGCCTGCACTGTCCCTCCCTCTATGAGAAGAACTTGGATTCCAGGAAAGCTTAAAGCCACCTCTGTAGAAGCAGGTGGGATCTGCTGCCCCTCTTCACTGTGCACTGGGCCTCCTCCTGGTGCAAGATCACTTACCAGGTCATGTGGCAAGGGCAGAGTTTGTGCCAAGGACCCACCTCCTCCTCCCCTCGTTTTTGCCACCCTTTCCCCCTAATTCCAGATTATCATCCCTCTAAATTTTGGTTTCCTTGGAGCTGCTGAGGTATCTGAACATACACACACACACACTCACACTCATACACACACACACACACACACACACACACACACACACACACACACTTACATGCTGTTTGGAAAAGCACCAGGAAAGGGTATCCAGGTCATATGCATTCTCCATGGCTCCCAGTCAAGTGCACAGTTGCCACCCCCACAGCCCTCTCTCTTTCACATTTGAGTTTTTCCTTCAAAGCAGGAGTTCTGAGGCCACCTCAGGACCTCTTGTCACAGGGATGTCACCACTGTTGTGCATCGGATCACCTGTGAAACTTTGTAAAGACTGTGATGCCCAGGTGCCACCATAGATGCTGTTTCAGCATCTGTCCAGGTAATGTGGATGCCCAACCAGAATGAGATCTGGTGATGTGGTGACGGGACACCCCTCCCCCTCTCTTGTGCACAGGGAGGGTCTCCACATCCGGATAAATTGCAGATTCTGACTCTTCAGGTGTTCGGTGGACCAGAGTCTCTGAATCTGATGAGTCTCAGGAAAGGTGGGTCTTACTTGCCTGTGGAGCCCACTTGCAACAGCAAGGCTGATGGGGCCACGTCTCCCCTGACAGGATGACCCTCTCAACCCAGCATTGGCCTCTGCCATGTCTTGGTATTGGGTCAATCAGCATCACACAGAGAGCCCCACAGGCCCAAAACTGAGGATTATTTCTGTTTGTAAAACAGAAACCCAGCTGGGCACCTCCTGTTCCCTGTGTTCTCAAATGCACTGGGAAGGTTAAATTTCCTCCCAGCAGGAAGGCCACAGAGGTGACTCTGGTGGTGAGAAGGAGTCAAGCTGGGTGATGACGGTAGAGGGGACCCTCCCTCTATCTCAGGTTGTCACCAGCCTGGCCTTTGCTTCCAGGGACAGAGATCCAGTACCAGGAGTCTCAGGAGGCCCTTCAGTTCCTGGTAGTGAAGAGGAAAGTGTCCTGCATGTCCTGGAAGGAGGACTGTGGTGGGAGCTCAGGTGGCTGTGGGATTCCTGGTTGTCAGTGGTAGTTTCTGGGAGACCCTCCCACTCTGTTGGCTGAGCCTGTCCTAGTGCTCCCTGATCTTGGCGCGGTGTTAGTCCTCTGCCTGGGAGAGTACATTTCAAAACTGGAAAGTGTTCATGGGTGGTGCCAGGCATGGTACAGGGAGCAGCAAATAGAGCCCTGAGAAACCGGGTGATCTTGGGCCTGTTAAAGTAAGAAACTTCCCAACCTGTGAAGATTTTCATGACTTTATTTGAACCAAGCTAACGTCTTATGCCTGGTACAAGATATCAAATCCTGAGCTTGGCAGTTGTGCAACTTATTTTATACATTATAATAAAAAAAAAAGATGGAAAAAGTTGTGTGAAATCCGTTAGGAATTGAAAAATCTCTAGAATTGATAAATAGCAAAATGGAGAAACTCATTTTTTTTTCTTTGGTGTGTCCAGGATAATTAATATTTACAGCACATAGAGAGGTTGTGGAAGGATCCAGGTAACCTAAGAAGTATGTTTTCTCATATGCTGGTCCCAGAGTCTGTGCCTTCAAATCATCTTGCAAAGGAACAACTACTCTGATGTATCAAAGGTATGTTATCCAAGATGCATAAGAACAGGGAACAGGGCTCACTTAATGTAATGTCTGACCTTTGCTAACGAAGCTGTATGCCTGGGACATGACTCCCTGACATCACCTGCCCAGTTAGGAATTTGTGATCAGACCATCCTGTGCAGTTATTTTTGGTCACTGAGCATGTCAGGCCTGACATGTGACCTGCTGGGCTTCTCAGGCTTATTTTACAGCCCATTTTTGTTGTTGTTTCATTCACAGTCCCTAGAAGTAGAAGGTGGGATTCAGCAGTCCTGAGGGCAGATTCCAAAAGCATCTGTGGGAGCCAGTGATGGAAATCAGGCTCCTTCTCCAGCTCCTTATGCAAAGCCAGGTTCATGTGTGAATTCCCTGTGTTGTCAGTATGCCTAAATGTCACCCTCTGGAGAGCAGAAGGAGAAATGCAGCCAATGCCAGGTGCTGCACCAGGGATGCTGACCAGAGACTGAGAGCTAGCCCTGACACCTGGGCAGAAGTGGGCTCTGGCCTTCAAGCTTTAAGGCCAGTCAGTCAGGGTCCAGTCACTGTGGGATCCAGGCCTCCTGACTCCATCCCAGAGCAGGGTGAGCCCAGCAAGAGGACAGGATCTGGGGCTGCTTCCATCTCAGAGGGGATGAGTGTCCAGAGTATTATGAGTCCAGTGTCATGAGAACTGTCCCCTCTGGTGGATGTACTGTTTCAAGAGGAAATCTCTGTCCCAAAGGTTTCAAGAACAGGACCTGGTGATGGCTCTTCTGAGGCTTTTAGTAGAGTGTGCCAAACTAGAGTACTGATCCCCCAAATGCCCTGTGCGTCTCCATCATTGCATGGGGTTGTTTCATTCAAGTCACCTGTGTCCCTGTCAATTCTCTTTTGTAGTCCTCCCGCAGGGCCCAGGATCTGAAGCAGCTCCACTTGGCGTGTAAACCACAGGAGCTGTGGGTTCCTCTGCTAGGGGAGGGAAGGCCCCTGTGCGACCCTCAGTCCTCTGAGATGGAAGCAAGCCCAGATCCTTTTTTATCCTGTCCCATCATGCTGAGGAAGTTCTCCTTGCTCCCCAGGACATCATGGGTGGTTGAGATGTTCTGGGACTACAGGCAGGTGTCCCACAGACCAGGGAACTTGGTTTTGGAAGTCATCCCCGGATTCCTCTGAGGTCAGTATGAGCTCTCTTTTCCCATGGTAGTACCTCTACCTGGGGTGAAAGATCCAGAGTGTCTGCCAGATCAGGGCTCTGTGAGAAGACAAAGAACACAGGCTGCTGTCCCGGCCCCAGGAATATGAGACATCACTCACAATGTGGAAATGGGGAGGGCTGTGATTTTCAGAGAATGAAGGAAGGTCTGACTCTTCACTCTTATTTTGTCCTATCTCCCACTCCCCTGAATGGGTGAGGGGGAAAAAACCCATACCTGGGTCATCCCCACACACTTGTGGCCTCCTCCCATGCTGATAGCAATACCTTCGTGCCTATAAGGAACATCGTTTGACCACTAGTGTCACATAGGTGACAGGATTCCATTGTGTGGTTTCTCTCATCCATTTAATGAGTGTTTACTGAACATCTGTGATGTGCCAGGCCTGGAATGGGCCCTGGTACCTGAGAGAACAGGACATATGTGGGACCTGTGCTCATGGAGTTTACCTTGTAACAAAAACAGTCTCTCAGAGAAATCACACCACTAAGGAGTTAATTATAATCCAGAGAAGGGCGAGGAAGAAAGAGTAGTATGTAATTGAGTCTCAGCTCGTCTAGGGATCACAGAAATCACTTCTGAGAAAGTGACCTCTTGGCTGAGACCTGAAGCATGAGTGGCCATTCAACCTTTGGACAGAGGGTGGTGGGGAAGAGCTGCCTGCACAGGACTGAACTTGGTGGGCAGATACTTGAATTTTTTGTAGTAGTCCGAGGAGGATAGGCTTTATTTCTTCCTTGAATGTTTGGTAAAACTCCCCTGCGAAGCCGTCTGGTCCTGGGCTTTTGTTTGCTGGAAGCTTTTTGATGACTGCTTCAATATCTTCCATAGTTATTGGCCTATTGAGATTTATAGATTCTTCCTGATTGAGTTTTGGAATGTTGTATTTTTCTAGGAATTTGTCCATTTCCTCCAGGCTGTCTATTTTGTTGGAGTGGAGCTGTCCATAGTATTTTTTAATAATCATTTGTATTTCTGTGGGATCTGTTGTTATTTCACCTCCATCGTTTCTGATTTTGTTTATTTGGGTCCTCTCTCTTTGCTTCTTGGTGAGCCTGGCTAGAGGTTTGTCAATCTTGTTTATCATTTCAAAGAGCCAGCTCTTGGTTTCATTGATTTTCTGTATTGTTTTTTGGTCTCTATGTCATTTATTTCTGCTCTAATCTTTATTATCTCCTTCCTTCTGCTAACTCTGGGATTTTCTCGTTGCTATCTTTCTAATTCTTTGAGTTGTAGGGTTAGATGATTTACTACCATTTTTTCTTGTTTTTTGAGATAGGCCTGTAGAGCTATAAATTTCCCTCTCAGGACTGCTTTCATTGTGTCCCATAGGTTTTAGATTGCTGTGTTGTCATTGTCATTAGTTTCCAGGATGTTTTTAATTTCTTCTTTGATCTCATTGGTAACCCATTCAATATTTAATAACATGCTATTCAGCTTCCAAGTGTTTGAGTATTTTGGGTTGTTTTTATTGTAGTTTATTTCTAATATTATGCCATCATGGTCTGAGAAGATGCTTTTCATGATTTCAATCTTCTTGAATTTGGGGAAACTTTGCTTGTGACCCAATATGTATTCTATTTTTGAATCTGTCCCATGAGCACCTGAGTAGAATGTATATTCCGCGGCTTTGGGGTGAAGTGTTCTGAAGATGTCTATTAAGTCCATCTGATCTAGTGAGTCATTTAGGACTGCTGTTTCTTTGCTGATTATTTGTCTAGAGGACTTATCCAGTGATGTCAGTGGTGTATTAAAGTCCCCTACTATGCTTGTATTGTTGTCAATATCTCCTTTCATATCTTCCAGGAGTTGTTTTATGAATTTGGGTGCTCCTTCATTGCGTGCATGTATGTCTACCAGGGTTATATCTTCTTGTTGTATTGATCCCTTTAGTATTATAAAATGGCCTTCCTTATCTCTTGTTATGGCCTTCACTTTGAGCTCTATATTGTCCGATATAAGTATTGCTACCCCAGCTTTCTTTTCCTTTCTATTTGCCTGAAAGATATTTTTCCATCCCTTCACTTTCAGTCTGTGTGAGTCCCTTCTAATGAGGCGGGTCTCTTGTAGACAGAAGATGCATGGGTCATGTTTTTTTTTAATCCATTCAGCCATTCGATGTCTTTTGGTTGGAGCATTTAGTCCGTTTACGTTTATAGCTATTATTGAAAGGTACTTGTTTGCAGCCATTTATTTTTTTGTGTGGCTGTTTTCTTTCTGAGTTTTTTATTTCTTCTTTTTACACCAGTCCCTTTAGCATTTCTTGCATGGCTGTCTTGGAGGTGATAAACTCCCTTAGCCTCTTTTTGTCTGTGAAGCTTCTTATTTCCCCTTCAGTTTTGAATGATAGCCTTCCTGGATAGAGTATTCTTGGATTCAGTTCTTTGCTTTGCATCACTTTGTAAATTTCCGTCCATTCTTTTCTGGCCTGATGTGTTTCTGTTGAGAAATCATTTGATAATCTAATGGGAGATTCTTTGTATGTAACTGTCCATGTCTCTCTTGCACCTGTAAGATTATCTTTTTGTCCTGAACATTTGCCATGGTAATTATGATGTGTCTTGGTGTGGGTCTTCGGGTTCACCTTGTTTGGGACTCTCTGGACTTGTGTGACTTTTTCCTTCCCCACCTCAGGGCAGTTTTCTGATATTATTTCTTCGAATAGGTTTTCTAATCCTTGTTCCACTTTCTGTTGTTCTGGCACCCCAATTATTCATATGTTGTTTCATTTCATGTTGTCCCAAAGCTCCCTTAGGTTCTCCTCCTGTCTTTTAATTTTTTTCTCCAATTTCAGTACAGTTTGGGTGTGTTTTGCTTCCTTGTCTTCTAATTCACTAATTCGTTCCTCCACTTCTCCTAGTCTACTGTTGATACTTTCAATGGTGTTTTTTTTATTGAAGGTATATCGCTCTCCATTTCTTCTTGGGTCTTACTTAAGGTGTTGATTTTTTTCATCTTTTTCTTCTAGCTTCTTGCATATGTTATTCATTTTTTTCCTCCATCCAGTTTATGCACTCTAGGATCCTTATTTTGAATTCTTTTTTCTGTCATGTTGCATGCCTCTGTATCACTTAGCTGCTTCTCTGGTGAGTCCTCCTTTTTTTTTCCTTTGGGGGTTTCTTTGTCTACCCATGTTTGATCTCATTGACATATCTAGATGTTGAGTCATTCAGTGGCTTCTCCCTGGGTGGCAGTGTCTCCTGGGGCTGTGGTTGCTCTTCGGGCAGTTGCGGTAGCAGCTGCTCCTCAGTTGGCAGGAGCTCCTCTGTTGAGTGCTGTTCACAGCTGTGGTGGCTCTTCTGGCTGGTGGGGGGAGGCTTCAGGTACAGCTGCTCTTCCTCAGACAGAGGGTGTGGTGCTCAGGAGGCTGCTGTTGCTTGGATCTGCTGCATTGATTTAAAGACACTAAATACAACACAACAAGGCACCACGTACCAGTCACTGAACACAAATATATTCACCATATTAATAACCCCAAATAAAGGTGACCACTTGAATTAAGAAAGTTAGGGGATAAGGAAGAAAGAAGAGAAAAAGATAAAATAGAGAAAAGAAAAGTAGGAAAAAAAGGAGTGCAAAAATGAAAATTGGAAAAAGGGGGGGAGAGAAAAGAAAAAAAAAAGAGCGAAAAGAGAGAATGAAGTAGAAGACGGGAAGAGACTATTTATATGAGGAGAAAACTCCTATAGAACCACCACTAATCCCAACAAATTCCAGCAACTGCTCCCTGGAGATAAATGCAACCTAGAAACAACCAATAATATCAAGAGAGGCAAGGGAAAACAGAAGCACAAAAATAAGCGGGGGCGGGAGAGGTGGAGGGAGAGGAAGAACCAGCAGAAAAATATAAAAAGAAAAAGCAAAACAGCCTCACAACCAGGCCTAAAACACACACACACACACACACACAAAAAAAAAAAAAAAAAAAAAAAAAAAAAACATCAACAACAACAAAAACAATATACTCAACAATCAAGCAAACAGCAACAAAACAATAGAAAGATAAAAGAAGAAAAAAAATTTGATAGTGGAGAGAGATAAGGGATAGGTGTATAAGGATTTAGAGCAATGGATTGGAAATAGGATATATAAGTAGGGTGAAATTTTGACAGGAGGTAAACAGAAGAAATAGGGAAAATCTGACGCAGGAATAAGGTAAGAGAAACAGGACAACAAAAGGGGAAAAGTGAGGGAGAGGGTTTTAGCATAGAGGTAAAATTGAGGTAGGGAAAATTGATGCTCAAGGAATGAGGAAAATAGAATGGAGTACACTAATCCCAAAATAAAATAAAGAGAAAATAAAATGGCACTTTAAAAAATGGTAAAATGGTAGCATTAATAATACTGGTTAAAAATAAAAATGTAGTAATTACAAGGCTAAAATCAGGTCATGGGAAAAGAAGAAGAAAAAAAATTGGTTTCTTAGTTATAAGGTGAAAAAAGAAAAAAAATTTGCAGTAGTGAAGTCCTTCAGTTCTTCTACTCTTCAGTCTGGCTCACCTTAGTCCTTCCAGGTATTCAGGAGAGTGTTGAATTTCCCTGCGATACACTGTTCCTTCGTGTTGTAAATCACAGTCCTGATTTTAAAGCAGGCCGTATTTGTGATCCAGACTGCCTTAATTTGTGTTCACCTAAGAGTCAGTTTGTGGCTCAGCCTCTGGGTGGCAGTGTTTTTGGGTTGGCCTCTGAGGCTATACAGCTTACCTATCCAGCAGCAAGGGTTTATTTTCTCTATTGCACTTAAAACTGGTTTGGGGAGGTCAACTCCCCAGAGCTGGTTCTTTAATCATTACCCTGCTCTGTGTTGTTGCTGGATTGAAAATCCCTCTATATGCCAGACCTTGTTACCTCCCAGGGACTGATCAGATCATTTTAATCCTTGATCTCCTTCAGGGTGGAATCTGGGTGTGGCTTTGCTCCTTGCCTGGGGGCTAGGTAGAGAAGTCCCACCCTCTGGAGAGAATGGCTGCCCCAGTCCTGGGCCCAGGGATGTCTCAGCACTCAATTCGCTGGCACCTCTCCCGACCCCCCTATCTCCTCAGCTTCTCCCCAGATTCCACTCATCTGCACCTTCTCTCTCTCTTCATCACAGGTGAGTGTCTGTATCCAAAATATCTTATGAACAGGATTCAGTTAAAACAAACAAAGAAACACCGGCCATGGAAACGGGGAAGGCTTAGATGTTGTAAGCTCTTCTCTTACCGACACTGCATGGTCTGGTCAGCTCTTCAGGCTGCCCCCTCTAGGCTCAGTCCTCCGTGATCACAGAACCCAGGTCTCAAATCCCCCAACTTCAGGAATCCCTCCGATGTCCTTTCCCCAGTCAGGGGCTGTGCCTGTCCCAAGGGACTTGGCTGTCTGCCACGTGGTCTCCCTCTGACACTCTGAGCTCAGAGGTCTGGCAAACTTTCCTGCCCAGATTCCTGTTTTTTTTTTTTTGTTTGTTTGTTTTTTTGTTTTGTTTTGTTTTGTTTTGTTTTTTTTTTTTTTTTTTAACTTTCCAGGGGAGTTCTGCCCTTCCCAGCTGCAAACCATCTCACCAGCTGAGTAATTTCACCAATTCGGGGTGGGTGTTACTAGTTTCAGCTGCTTACTCCATTTGCTCCGGGACACGACCTGGGACACATCTGACTATATCGCCGTCATCTTCGGAATCCATAAAGGCCAAATCTTGATTAGAAGCCTGGAATTTTCAGCTACCAACGTAAGAAACATTTAAACCTGTAGAGAATTTTTATGAGTTTATTTGAGTCAAACTGACGACAATTTCCAGGAAGCAAAATCTCAATGAAAGGTGTCAGTTTTGCACCATATGTTATACATTACAATCAAAGCAGGATGCATATGGGGTTTAATAAAATCCATTGGTGATAGATTAGGAAGATGGGAGAAAGCAAAACAGGGAAATCTCTGAGATGGGATAAAAAGTAAAACAAATAGACACATACTTCTTTTGCATTGGTTCATAGAGGATAGTTAGCAGCTAACAATTTACATGATGACAATAGCAATGAGGCGTTCTTTGGCTTCTCCTCTGGTGCAGTGAGGTTCTGGAAAAAAAGAAAAAAATTTTCCTGATATTCCAAATGTAAGTTATCTCGAATGTAAAAAGACAACAGACATGTTCAGTTAATATAAAGATTCAGCTTTGTTAGGAAAAAAAATACTTAAGACATAATTACCACCATGACTCGCTTTTAGTTAGAAAGTTGTCATTTCAGGCTATCCTATGTGGTTACTTTAAGTCTCTGATTTTGCAAATCATACTATGCAGGCCTCTTCTGAGCTAGTCACCTTTAATACATGGCTCCATTTTCATCCACACCTCCCCCTTTGGCTCATAAATCAAATGGAATGATTCACTGATGACCAAACTTTTGGTTGTAAATTGTGGTTTCATGGTGCTAGAAAGGCTCATCATTAGGAAGTCTTAGTTTATCTAACTGAACTATGGACCTTTGGGGATAGGGCAAGATGTAATATTGGATGGAAGTCAAGGTCAAATTTTCTTAAAAGTGAAAAGCAGGTAAATGGGAGCCAGTCAGGTTCCACTGGTCTTCATTAAGAAAAACACTTTGGAGGCGGCGCTCACCCAAGGGGAGCCAAGTTCAGTTCCAGCGGCAAGATCGTGAAGCCCAATGGCGAGAAGCCAGACGAGTTCGAGTCCGGCATCTCCCAGGCTTTCCTGGAGCTGGAGATGAACTCGGACCTCAAGGCCCAGCTGCGGGAGCTGAACATCACCGCGGCCAAGGAAATTGAAGTTGGTGGCGGTCGGAAAGCTATTATCATCTTCGTCCCAGTTCCTCAACTCAAGTCTTTCCAAAAAATCCAGGTGCAGCTGGTACGCGAGCTGGAGAAGAAGTTCAGTGGGAAGCAAGTGGTCTTCATCGCTCAGAGGAGGATTCTGCCGAAGCCAACTCGAAAAAGCCAAACAAAGAAAAAGCAGAAGCATCCCAGGAGCCGCACCTTGACCCCTGTGCACGACGCCATCCTTTTGGACCTGGTCTTCCTGCGCGAGTTCCTGGGCGTGGGCAAGAGGATCCACGTGAAGCTGGATGGCAGCCAGCTCATCAAGATGCATCTGGACAAAGCGCAGCAGAACAACGTCGAGCACAAGGTTGAAACTTTTTCTGATGTCTATAAGAAGCTCACGGGCAAGGACGATAATTTTGAATTCCTAGAGTTCAGCTGTAAAGAAAAATGACTAAATAAAGTACATA